GCTGAGAAAATCGAAAAATCGGGAAGTTATTGGTTTTACCCCGTTTTGCAAAAATCAAGGTTTCAACAGATCTCGACGTTTAGAAGCCCTAATAGTTCTGGTCCGGCACTACAATGTCCTATACTAAAAATTACGATGTTTTCATCGTAATTTTTCGTACAATTTTCTTTCCGTGTATTATCTACTTTTAGTTTATAGCTACTCATTATTTAAAATATGAGCAACAATTATTCGATAATTACAAGGAAAAAATATTTATCAATTATTAGTCATAGTAGGCCAGTGCAATTATTTGATTGTCACAAAACAACGAATGTGCCTTGTCAGTTATACGTAATAATGATAATAATAATATTTTCCTTATAAGCACAGTATATAAATTGGCACCAAAGTTATTCGGACTTATCTTCGACTGTTTGTCTAAAACACTACCTACTGCTTTCTACGCTTCGAAACGGTGAGTAAATTTTAAGAAATTATATTCATAAATGAAATAAAAACATATATCGCATTGTTAATGCCAAATAGGCGCATATCAACATCTACGCTCTTCTGGCTTTGCAGAGCCAAAAAAGTGCATAAAAAAATTTTTTTTCACTACAAACAACCTAAAAATGTTTATAACATTTGAATCGCTTATTTGAGAAACCCCATAAGACATATTTTTTTCGAAATCAGGTTTGTTTTATTTTTTGGTTCTTTGAATTTCCCCTCACTTACACCAGTACCAAAAAATATTAAATCTGTGTTCAAGACTAATCGGTCGATATAAATCTCATTTAGTTGAGAAACCCTAATAAGCCACTGACTTATGGGGGTTTTCGAATAAACATTCAATTTCAAAATTCCAAAAATGAATTTCTTTTTGTTTTTTTTTTTTATAAAAACTTTTTCTGAGTAGAAAAAATTCAGTTCAATGCAAAATACTTAAATTTTAATCATTTTCGTAGTATGGGTTTAAAAAAACTAAATTAAATTATTGTTTTATTTTTTGATGTGACTTAACTGACTTCAATTATTAAAATTATTGATTATTAGATAATTAGAAACTAAATTTACTGTTTAACACTTAAATTTTAAAGAGTTTTACAATATTCGTTTGATGGATTAAACTTAAAAATATCTTGTTTTATTGTTGACTCCGATTTAACTGATTTAAATTCTGAAATTAATCATAACCAAATAAAAATATATTATATTTCATATAATATATTTTTATTCATTGAATATATTATATATTATATTATATTTACTGTTAAATACTTTGATTTCAATAACACCGGCACACAAAAAAAATTAAGTAGAATGTGCATTTGACTGGACCTACCAACGAGTACGTATTTTGGTCCGCTGAATCCGAATTCGAGGTCAGTTTGACCCCGACACCCTCGAAATTTCGAGAAAACTTCGAAAACCGTAAAAATGATGAAAATCGACAGTTTTAATGATAAAAAAATTTTTTGGAACTAAACTAAGCGTGATTTTCATATATTTCGATTCACTGAATATGAATCGAAACTTTATTAAGACCACGAGCCATTTTAAATGTAAAAAAATCACACAAATCCTCCAAAATTCCGAAAAAAGTAATTTTTTTGGTTTTTTTACTCTCGTTTTTGACTTTTGAAGACTTAATTGCTTGTGCCTGTAACCAGGGCACCTCCACGTGGTGACGGTGGGCAACAGAACCATCTGGCAGAGTCCCTGGGTTAACGGCGTGTGTGCCGTCATGGCAGGTACTAGTGATAAGTACTTTACGATGCAGGGAGTCGGAGCCCCAGTATCGGCGTCTGGTCAGGGTGAGAAAGCAGGCTCGCAGGCGTCGTCATCAAGCGACTGCAGCTCTTCAGAAGTGGGAAACTTGGCTACTGGAGAGTATACTATTACAAGAAGTAATTCTCATCTGTGTAATAAAACTCCTGATTCATTTTGTTACATTTGTGGAGAATTCAATTTGGAAAGGAATCGAAGATCGTTATCTGATAAGATCAAATAAATTTATGAAGAATGTTTTGGTCTCCAAATTACTAATTTGGATTCAGCATGGGTTCCACATACGATTTGTAGTCGATGTAACATGATGTTAACCCGGTGGGAAAAAAACAAGAAACAGGACAACTTGAAATTCACAATACCAATGATATGGTCTTCACCAACTGGTTTACAGAATTGTTATTTCTGTATGACAGATACTACCGGGTTCACCTGGAATACAAAAAACAAAATTGTATACGCCAATGTTTTATCAGCTATTAAGCCACAAAAAATAGAAGTTGTCAAGAAAATTAATACGGTTGAAGAAATGGATGTAGAAAAAGACGATACGCTAGTTGAAGAAAGTTCGGAAGAAGAATATTCAGAAGATGAAGAGTATATACCTGGCGGAAAAACAAAAGACCCTGAAGCGTTTAGCCGAGAAGAACTTAATGATCTGGTTCGAGACTTGGCTTTACCGAAAGATGGAGCTGAATTACTTGCGTCAAGGTTGAAAGAAAAACATTTGTTGGCTAAAGGTGTATCAGTGACATTCTATCGAAATAGGGTAAAAAAAAAAATGGTGTGTGTACTTATGTACACGCGTCAGAAGTTATACTTATTTGGCATAAGAAAAAAAAATGTAAAAATGATCGAAGAAAAATGTTAAAAACAATCAAAAATGTTTTATTATAGTAAAAATTTTGGTATATTGTATAAACATAAAATCATTAATCATCATATGAATTTAATTCAATATTATTTACGATTTTTCTGAATCAACTAATTTTGGAGTTGTAAAGTATTAACAGTTTACAATTGATAATTATAAAATATTTTAATTATTTATTTAAAATATATGTTTCTTTCATAATAGTTCATTATTTTTTTTTTAACCTAGTCATAATATCTTTTTAATTAATATTTTTTCAAAAGGAATATTAATTACATGAATTAAAAGAGTTACAAATATTGTAGTACAAAACTAGATTTTGTTTCCAATAAAATTTCGGAAAATTACTAAAATGGTCTATAATATACATTTTAAAAGATATCGATAGAATTACTAAATTCGATAAACAAAATGATTAAGGTAGTACCTCCACGAAAAGCATATTTCAAGAAACTTATGAAATTTTTTTTATCGAAAGATATATATATATATATATATATATTAATAATGGAATTTATTATGGAATTATAAATCTTATGGAATTTTAAATCTTAATTTATAATTTACGATATAGTTTATTTTAAATCATTCTAACTCAAGGACTTTAAAAGCGTATTCTTATTATAATTGGCCTTGTTTAAATCTCAATGTTTAAATTTTATTGACTATTATCTAAATCATATTAATAAATCAAAATTTTAGTATACCAAATAATTCAAAAAATCTCAATATTTAAATATTCATAACTATAAACCAAAACTTATATCCGAATATTACAAATAATTATTCGACTGAATATTTTAATGTAGCCTTTTATCTATCTATATTTTGTATTTTATAAAATTTTAAGTAACTTTGTAAATAATCTAATGTATACTCATATTCATACACATTTCAAATGTAATTTAAATTCCTTGCCATTCGGCCTGTGCCTTAGCATTTATCATGAATAAATAAATAAAATAATTCACCATAAAAATTTCAGATCAATTCACCGCACCGTTTTTAAGTAATATTACTCAATTTTTGTTACTTACGGCTAGCATTTTTAACAAATATAAATAATACTGTGAAGCGGGAAAGAATAGGAGTTACGGATAATTATTACGTAAAGCGTTCCAACATTCACGTAACAGGATATTTTGGTAGGAAAGGATTGAGAAAGGATTATGGAGAGGATCATCTTAATGTGAGTTTATAGAATATGCGAGAAAAAAATTAATAGATAGCTCGGACTGTGATTCGAACCCAGAACCTTCCGAAGACATGTCGGCTACTCTACCATTTGAGCTATCCGGTCTATACTAAATTTCCTTTCACTTATTCTATATACATTAAGCCACACCGTCCATCTTACGGCTAGCATTTTTAACAAATATAATTAATGCTGTGAAGCGGGAAAGCGTGCCAACTCAAAATTAATATTAATTTTCGAAATTGCATCTTTTACACGTAGAGGTATAGAGAAATGGTAAAGTTAGTATGAAATCTATTTGCATCATTCGAGTGGTACGGAAGATTTATCTTTCGATAAAAAAAATTCCATAAGTTTTTTGAAATATGCTTTTCGTGGAGGTACTACCTTAAGTCTATATTAAAAAATCTATGTTAAAAAATTATGAACACAATAAAAAGATACCTAAATATAATAAATACTAAAATATTTATATTTTCCCGAGAAAAAATGTTTCTATATAATCATATATAATTGTATATAATCATATATGATTATATATGGAATCACATATATAATTATATAGAATTATATATAATCATATATAATTGTATATGACTATATATGGAGCGATATACAACCATGCAAGATTATATATAGTTCCATATACAAATATATATAAGTATATAAAATTATATATAATCATACATGATTATATATGGAATTGTATATGAGGTTATATATAATCATATATAGTTATATATGACTATATATAGAGCAATATAGAGCCAAGCAACATTATATATAATTATATATAGTTATATATAATCATACATGATTATATATGGAATTGTATATGAAGTCATATATAATCATATATAATTATATATGACTATATATGGAGCAATATACAGCTATGCAAGATTGTACATAGTCCCATATATAATTATATATAGTTATATATGCTTATATATAATTAACATACATAAAAATTTTTTCTTTGAAAAAAAAATTTTTTTTGGTAATCACAAAAAGTGTAAAATGATGCTTATAATTACGTTTAAATAATTCTGAAATACAAAATTTATCACATTTCCTATGAGATGTTTTGTCTGCTCTGCTACTACGTAATAGTAAAATCATTATTTATTTTATTATTTAAATAAGTGTTATATTATAATGAAATTCGGTAAGATAAATAAATTATGAATTATGACTATCCAAATATGTTATAAAATCAATTTTTATATTATATTTATGATAAACTCATATGATACATTAAGTAGATCATAGAATCATTATTGTCTAAGATAGCAGCACAGCAGACAGAAATTTCAAGACCCCGGATCGACAATTTTATAATTAAGTTAACGCGAGATTACTTTGCGAAACTCTCTTCAATTGAGAATAAAGAAATTGAAAAGATCTTGGAAACACCTGAGCAACAGATCTACATCACGAACCACAACTCAGCTTGCCTACCACCCCAAGCGTTTATCTACTTTGACAAAAAAGGCATCATACAAGACAGCAACAACGTACCAACAATATATCATTGGGGCAGAAATGTAGCAAACAAAAGAATTAATTTGACAACTGATATGATTGCTAACAATAAATATGATCCAGTTTATTCAATGGCCTTACCAGAACGAGATAAAATGGACTTCTACAGTCTTGATGAAAGATACTGGTGGCTAGAGGACTCCTGCCATCGTATAAAATTAAAATTAAGAAAGCTCAACGGCTGGTCGGCGACGTGGTGAAGTGTTAATATGTATATTTGTATATATGTATAGATTTAAGCTATAATCTTTTTACTTTAATATTTTTATTTTCTTTTTTCACTATTAATTTTTTTTAATAAGCTAAGCGAGGGTTTTTGCAATTTTCCCACCGCTCCTCAACTAACAAGAATATATATCCTAATTGGATACCTCTCAATACATATTTAATTAACAAAATATTTAGGTTCTAATAATTCAGATCCACATATACAATAGATATGAGTAGCTCCACACACGGAGACTAATATCTTATTAATAAACATAATATAATGGCTAGTTTTTAAGTTGATTTGCAGCCGAATATTTATTGTAAAACCTATGTAATTAAAATAAAGCAAATAAACTTCTTTTTAAAAAAAAAAAAAAACAGAAATTTCAAGACGCACGGAGATCACCAAAGTTAAGCAGCATTGAGCAGGGTTAATAGTTGGATGGGTGACCACTGGTGTTATAGCCATAAAATTAGATCTAGATATTTTTTTTGCATTTTGATCGGTTACACAGAATTGCGTAGGACCGTAAACTATCTATTCTTTGATAGGTTTAGAAATAAACTTTCTTTGTTGCTGTAAGGTGGACAGCGGTGCTTCTCGGCCTAGCTTACCTTACTTCTACCCAGTGCTCTGTAAGCACATCTGGGTGTATTGTAAGTGTAATTAGTAGCATAACATTAAAAATTTTATATTTGCTGTTAATTTGTTGTATTTGTCACAAATTTGAGTTATATATACATTAGAAATAAACTTGTTTTTTTTTTATATTTAATTAATATAAATATAAATATAAATATAAATAAAAACAAATATAAATAATGCTGTGAAGCGGGAAAGAATAGGAGTTACGGATAATTATTACGTGAAGTGTTCCAACATTCACGTAACAGGATATTTTGGTAGGAAAGGATTGAGAAAGGATTGTGGAGAGGATCATCTTAATGTGAGTGTATAGAATATGCGAGAAAAAAAAATTGTTAGATAGCTCGGACTGGGATTCGAACCCAGAACCTTCCGAAGACATGTCGGCTACTCTACCATTTGAGCTATCTGGTCTATACTAAATTTCCTTTCACTTATTCTATATACATTAAACCACACCGACCATCTTACGGCTAGCATTTTTAACAAATATAAATAATGCTGTAAAGCGGGAAAGAATAGGAGTTACGGATAATTATTACGTGAAGCGTTCCAACATTTACGTAACAGGATAATTGGTAGGAAAGGATTGAGAAAGGATTGTGGAGAGGAACTTTTTAATGTGAGTGTATAGAATATGCGAGAAAAAATTATTAGATAGCTTTATTCTTTGCTATCAAGAAAGCTAGGAAAGATAGCTCCTAATAAACTAATTAGTTTAAATATTTTATTTCATAAAATTATTATTATTTTTGAAAAAAATATAAATTAAAAAGAAATTATTACCAAGTTGAATTAAAACTAAACAATCAAATAAAATATTCAATTGACCATTTTTTAGAATTGATTATTAATATGAATAATATCTTTCATATTAAATGGCATTTCTATCGAATTTAAAAATAACAACGTTTCGTTGGATACTTTGCGATTAGCTTGTATATGAGTTAACTTAGTCAGTAAAAGAATTCTATAATTTTTAATTATGTTTGATGGCCAACTTCATCATGTCGCTTTTTTGGGACATCATGCGCGCGCAGCTCACAAATTTCACTCTCATCCAAACGCGCCAAAAGAAGTATAACTTCAAAAATTTCGGAAATTTTTTATGAACGACGATCAAAATTCGGTGGTATACTGTTCAGATGTTAAAGCTTTAGTTGATGAATGGAAACCGAACACGTATAAGGACGATGAGTGGAGACTTTTTATCGATTCATCGAAACGAAGTCTTAAAGCTGTTTTGCTTCATATTGGGAATGAATTTGCGCCGATTCCAATAGCTCATTCGACAAAACTGAAAGAAACTTATGAAAATTTACAGATTGTATTGGGAAAAATAAAATATTCAGAACATAACTCGAAAATTTGTGGAGATCTCAAAACTGCAACACTTCTTTTAGGTCAGCAATCGGGATTCACCAAATATCCTTGCTATTTATGTTTGTTTGATAGCAGAGACCGAAAAAATCACTATGTCAAAAAAGAATGGCCATCAAAATCTGCACTGAATCCAGGTTCCCATAACGTTATACGACCACCCTTAATTCAGCCTTCCAAATATTTGCTGCCACCACTACATATCAAGTTGGGACTCATAAAACAGTACGTGAAAGCTCTGAATAAAGATGGTGATTGTTTTGCGTACTTGAGAGGAAAGTTCCCTGCAATAAGTGATGCAGAATTGAAAGAGGGAATTTTTGATGGACCCCAAATAAGATCTTTATTTCAGGATGCAAATTTTGAAGGAACAATGAACGACACAGAAAAAGCAGCGGTAAGCTTAAAAAATGTTTCACAAAACTTTTTGGAAAATAACAGAAGTGAGGATTACAGCACTTTAGTTGACGCATTGCTGGAAAACTACAGAATTTGGGTTGTTTAATGAATGTCAAATTAAACTTTTTAGATTCTCATTTTGACCACTTATTCCCTGACAATTATGGAGACTATAGTGAAGAACAGGGAGAACGTTTTCACGTGTGTCAAGCTTAGATACAACTTTGAATCCGCAGCTGCATCATAATGCTTTAGATGCGGTACATGAACAATGTCCTGCATGTTCAGAAACAAACTCGATGAATTTATTGACATCGATTGCTGTTCACTTGCCCAAGCTAATTGTAAGTAAACTTGATAAACTGGATAACCTTGAAAAGTCAGCGCAAAAGTTACAAACAAATAAATGAATAAATGCTCAGGTTATTTAAGATCCGTAATTTATTTGATGTCTAAATTATATCAAATTCTGCAACGTTTCGTTGATAATCTCAACTTCATCAGGCGTCGTTACATACAAAGGTAGATGATATTATATCTAAGCAGGCTGCATTAGACGCTAAATTCAATAGTTTGGAAAAAAGAGAGTGAGCTTGAATATAAGGGATTTTCAGGTGGCTCGAAAAAGGAAGCTGAGAAGGTCTCAAGGGCAGCTGATATTCTGCTTAATTGTAATTTCTAACAACCCGAGAAAAAATATTTATATATAATTATATATATTTATATATAAATTGGTTATATATGATTATATATGAAAAATGGCCAAATATAATCATATCTAATTATGTATAATTATATATAACTACTAGCAAACCCAACCCGCTTCGCCGGGCTAAAGCTTATATATCTAATATTATTTACTGTTTCATAAATTCTGTACTGATAATACACCGATACGGAGTTACTGTACACCGCTGTAACACCGATTTAACACCGGTAACACCGATTTAACACCGAATTTTTAACACCGCCGAAAACCATTTTAACACCGGTGTTAAGTGACCGGTGTTGCACAGCGGTGTTAAAATGAGTCCATTTTAACACCGCTTTTTTTACAGTGTATTAAAATAAGGCCATTTGACAGCTGAAATGGAAGTAGATTTCATTAACAGAAAAAATTTTTAACTTCCCGCTAAGAAAATTGAAAATTTTCAAAAATCGGGAAGTTATTGGTTTTACCCCGTTTTGCAGAAATCGAGTTTTCATCAGATCTCGACGTTTTAAGGTCACAGGAAGCTTCCCTGACTCTTGCCGCGATGGTGTCCGTGCGGCTGTATGTATGTATGTATGTATGTATGTGTGTGTGTGTGTGTGTGTGTGTGTGTGTGTGTGTGTGTGTGTGTGTGTGGCTCGGCCGATCGGATCGAAGTATAATTCTATACTTCTATACATCTATAGGTGGCGATTTAAAGAGTATTATTGATATTAAATTTCGTAAAAATTTGAATTAATTCGGTTCGCTAGATTTTAAGAAATCTCAAAAATAAAATTTTCAAAAAATCGTTTTTTTGGAATAACTTCTAAACAGCTCCACCGATCAATTTCAAAAACTAATCCATTCCTAAGTTTGAAGAACCATCACGTCGATTGCCACCAGTCCCGTCAAAATCGGTTGATTCGTTCAAGAGTTATCGAAAACGAAAAATTTCGAAAAAAGTGTTTTTTTCACATAACTTCGACATTTCTCTTTGAATCGTTTTCGATGAAATAGAATAATTACTGGAGTCCAAAAAACCACATCGACCCCACCAAGAACGTGAAAATCGGTTGATTGGTTCGTATGAGTTATCGTTGGCGAAAAAATTCGGAAACAGTGAATTTTTCAAATTTCTCTAAGATTTTCGGTTCGATCAGTTTGTGTTTAAAAGTATATTATTAAACTGAAAAAACTGCGTGAAATTCTGTCAACTGCGTGAAAATCAGTTCATTCATTCAGAAATTATTGCAGTTTGAAAATTCAAACAATACTGTTTTATTAGACTTCTATCAGACTATTGAGCTCGGAGAGCTTAAAAGCTTAGAACAGCTAATTCTACGAGCTTAGAGAGCTCGAAATAATATATAAATTATATTTTTGAGCTCGAAGAGCTCAAAAACGTCATAAGTGCAATTTTAAGCGCTTATTAGGTGATACGAAGTTCACCGGGTCGTCTAGTATTTATTAATAGTCAATTAATTTTTTCTGAGTGATTATGTCTTTATTTACGGTAAGATGTAAAGATCATTCATAAACAAATAATGCCATAATTTTTTCAATAAAGATACAATCCATTAATCATTTTCACCACAAATGAAAATTGTGTAACTTATTACAACCATTTTATTACTGATGTTATTTTTGATATTTTTTTATTCAAAAATAATTAATAATTCTGGTCTAATCGAATTATCTATTTAAGTTATGGAGTTAAAAAAAGGTCTCAAAGTTTACTTTTTCTACTCAGTTTTCATTCGAGGGTCTAAAACAAACGTTTATTAACAATTATTAATTATCAATTAACAGTTGGTAAACATTTACTGACTACAGAAAAATATTTAATTACAATTAATAAATTGTGTTTAATTAATGATTTATTTGCTGTTTATAAACGAACGTTACACTGTTAATAAATCTCATTTAATGAATGATTTATTAACTGTCAATAAATATTTTTTAAACCATTTAATGCTAGAAAAGAATCTATCATCAGTTATCAAATATCTGATTAACCCCTGACAAGCACACTGGGTAAAAAGTACCCACCCCAAAATTTTATTTCGTTATAATTTTTTGTACATATTTAAACTTCAATTGTATATTTATCTATTTTAATTGGCACTAATTAATTTAATATTATATCTAATTTATAGAGAATTTTTTGAGCTTTGATTTAAAAAAAAAAATTCTCTAACTTTATTAGAAACCAATATATTTGAAAATGAAATATGTTGGGTACTTTTCACCCTCAATGCCTAAAGAGATATACGATATAGTTGTGTGCTTGTCAAGGGTTAATTATTAATTAATATAAAATAATTTTAATATTAAACGTTATTAAAGCTTATTAACAAATCCTTCTAATATCAGTGTAATAAAATTTTAAAAACTTACCCCATAGAAAATCAGCAGCAAAAAAACTAAAACAAAATTTATTTTAAAAATCATAGTAGATCTTGAACACTCACAATGATTACTTCACATGTTTATCCTACTTATATATACTTCTAACAAGTAATACTTATGATTATCAAATTCGTGTCTCCGCAAAATATTTACTTATTAAACAGGTCAAAATAAAAGGAATATAAACAATGTATTAATATAACCATTTATTTTTAAATGATATTCTTTATCCAACACTTTTTTTCTCTTAATATAACTACCGACCAATAACCATAATTCAATGAACATCAACATCACAATACTAATTTTTTAAATCAGTTTTAAGTAAAAGTTATCCTATTTTTCTGCGGTTTCCATTTCTTGTCGGATGAAATTCTAATGAATCTTCAAAACTTAACTCTTCTTTATTTTTGTCTTTTTTTTCTGGCTTTGATTCATCAATTTTATCAGCAACAGACGGTTTCAGTTCTTCTTTCGGTGGCAACTTTGTTGTCGTTTGTTCCGGCTTATTTGTTGTCGTTTCTTCCGGTTTATTAGTACTGACAGTTCCGGGTCCCTGGATATTAAAATTCGGACATTTTATAGAGCAAATTAGTTCTGACTGCAAAAATTGTCGATTTTTAGAACCACAGATTCGCTGACAGAAATTGCTGTACAGGTCTTTTGCGAGATCGTATCCGAATCTCGGTTCTCGTTCAACGCCATCAGCAATCTAAAATCATTGTTATTATAATTATTAATTAATTAATGAATTTTTCAAAGAAAAATGTTTTATAATTTAATTCATTAAAAACTCACCTCATAAAAAGCGAGAAGCAGCAAAAATAAATTCATTTTGAGAATTATTTAACGTTTTTGGTTTTAGTAGTGATTGTCAACATCCTCTTTATATACTTTTCCAAACAAATAAAATTCATCATTCATGTTCACGCATAATATACGACTAATTATAAATTATTAAAAATAATTATCAACCAGGTCGAGGTGAAATAACAATCATCAGTATTTCATCTTATCGTTTATTACTAACAACTCTAATAGTAATTTTATTATTTCCTTAATTTACATCTGAAGAATAATAATATAATAGAATATATATATATATATATATATATTAATATTTCTTATTTTTAAAATGTACTTATATAACAAAAAATATTGAGGACGAATGGAATAGGCACGAAGCACATGGTAATAAATAATAACAAAATAATAATCGGATAATAATAGGCAGAAGCAAAACAATAATTTTATAATTTTAATAATATTCACAGGCAAAGGGAAATCAAATTCATGATCTGTAATAGAAAAGCTTTTATATTTACCAGAATATAATCTGAAGTGTTTTTTTTTTTTATTGAATTATACGGACTTAGAATTTTTTTTTTCATTTTTGTAATGTATTTAAGCATATACACAGAAAATTTTTATAAACAATTTAAGGCTAAAATTTTGTTAAAAAAAAAACATTTTTATAATTTCTTTGATTAATTACTAAATAACATTCTTCATCAACGGAATTTTTTTTTTGATTTTCAAATTTCGATGACTCATGAAGATATCAGTTTTAGTTCAAATGCTAGCTGAAAAACACGAAATACGGAGAAATTGATGAGAACAATTTCTATGGAAAATAAAATTTTCTACATTAAAAGCATCTTACAACTTTGTCGTATATTCAGTATTTAAACCAGAATTTATATTTTAAAAATTCTAAATACGTGATCTAATCGGAGACGATTGAAATCAAATTTAATATTGAAATTCCGACTAAATGATAAGATTTTGATGGAAGTGTATGAGAACTTTTTTGGTAGTGAATGAAATTTCCGACAAAAAAAAGTATCTTTCTACTTGTTATTTTTCCATATTTTTAGTATTCAAGCAAGATTTTTAAGATTTCATCATTTCGTATTGATTTTTTGACAAAAACAGAATCAATACTTCTTTAGTTTTTGATTTTGTGTTTCCGAATGACTTTGATCATTATATTATAGTCTCCAGATATTATCTTAAAATACCAGAATATTTTTGAATGGTTGAATTTCGAATAAAACTGAAGATATTGTGCTCCTCGCAAGACACCTTTTTTAGAGGACCTCTAAAAGAACCTACAGGAGCTAAAAAAATCATCAATTACAAAAGAATATGACTTATGATCAAAGTTTAAAGTCACTAATATTCGTATATAAATTTTTTAATGCATCAATCGAAAAACCTCTTCAGAATCATTAAAAAAAATCTCTCTTTCCGACCTTTTAATTGCGTATAACCCTAAAATACCTACAATTAAATACTCACAGGGATTAAATTAAATGAAAAGTCGCAATTATTGGACAGCGGATAACTTCAATTAATGAAAAGTACAACAATTTCAAATAAGCAGGTTAAATTATTATTTCTTCTTATCTAAGAAATTTAAAAATCAGAGTAAGTTATTGGCTCCGCCGGCTTGTCGAATGTCACTGGGCGGTAGAATGACTGGGACTGGTCCCAACCACGTGGTGCCGTGTTGTAGTTCGCCAGAGTCTGAACACTCGCTATTTTCGGCCCGCTGTAAGTACTCTCGTACAGTTTAGTACCTAAAAAAGTCACATTCAATTATTCCACCCAAAAATTACCCTAACACAAAACTTAACTTAAAAACTACTTCAATCATCAACAATTATCAGCCAAAAAGCAAAGCAGAAGCGTCTTACTATCAATCGGCGGTCCAGGTACTAGATTCTCAAGAACAGGAGTCCTGCGTAGCTGCTTGATCTGCTCCATAATATCTTCTTGTGAAGTAATGCCCTTGAGAATGAGGGACTTAATCTGAATAGGGATTTCGGCTTCACTATCAATGAACTTGTTGATACTTTCCATATCTTCATTCCTGAACCCCGCAGGTGCTTCGAACAGCTGATCAGTAGCAGCATCGAACAATTGTCTTCTGTAGTCGCAATCACTGGATGACATCCGGCTGTTACTCATCCCCGACATCCTATTGCTCATTCCCGACATTCTGTTGCTGATGGTGTCAGACATTCTAGTTCCGTTGGAATATCTCGACGAACCGTTCCCTATTCCTCCACCATCATAGTCTTCGATGTTCAAGTTGTCCATCGACTCGCTTGACTCTCCAAAAGAGTCGCCGATCTCGTCGTCTGTCGAATCGTATTCGTATCTCAGGCCATTGCCGCCCATTGATTGGTATCCAATCTTCGGGTATCGCTGGTAGCCATTTCCGTTGAGGTTTCCATTGGCCATTTGATGTCCGTTGGTAACTTGGCCGCCATTCATCTGCATTCCATTTATTGGAACCTGGTTACCGTTGAGACTGACCCCATTCATGTGGTTGTTTATTTTCTTAGAATTAGAATTAGAATTATTATTAGACATTCGCGTGTTCGGAGCATCAAAGAACCGCGAAATGTCATCAAGCGGCGGATGCTGCTGAACAATAGCAACTTTTGGGATAGTTTGCTTGTACTGAAAAACAGGACGACAAGTTTTTTCAAACTCCTGGATTAATTGCTTCACCGGAACTGGTGTATAGTCATTTTCATCTTCAAATTCTGGTTCTTGTTGGAGCTGCTGATGTTTCTGGTGCTTCTGCTGTCGTTGATTGACGTGTTGACGAGTGTAATCACCATGGCGGTCATTACGAGAGTCGCGGTAGTCATTTTGTTGAGGCTTGCGACGCTGATGGGATTGGTAGCGATCTGATTCGGGGAGTCGGTACTTTTCGTACCCATTGTTGTGATTGTTTTGGTGATGATGATGATGATAATTATGATGATTTGTATTGTTATTGTTGTGAGTGTGGTTATTGTTATTTTTGCCGTTAGTCAGATCAGAGTCAGTTCCAACAGCGACCTCTCTCAGATAAATTTTTCTAACCTCTGGTTCTGCGTGCTTGCGTGAATTATTTGGGAATTCAGAATGCTTGCGGCGAGATTCATGCTCTGAAAAATTGAGGCGTAAAGCATGCAAGCGGTATTTTGTTAATTGGTATTTTTATTAGTACTTACTTGAAGGTAGTGTATTGTCTATTGAAAAATCCATGGCGAATGGATTGAAGAGTGGTTTTAAATTGGTGTCGTTTTTTTGGAACGCTGGGGTTGGTAGAGGTGAATTTGTAAAGTTTGAGTTCTCGTTCGTTCCGTAATCCTTGAAAAAATTAAAATCAATTCATTGAGCAAATTTGATAAATATTAGGGTAACGCAAAAAAAACGACCATTGTTATTATTTGGGTTATAACCTATCAAAATAAGTTAGTTTTTCATTTCTTAAAAGTTCTCTAAAAAAATCAGCAAGAGTTTTAAAATTCATGTAAAAATTTGAATTTTTTTGCTTTTAATATTTTTCATCGTCAGTCTGTTTTGTAAGTTAAAAATGATGTACATTCTGAAAATTAAAATTCGAAATTTTTATTTACATTGTTTAGTGTGTCAACTTGATACTAATATCGATACTAAAATCTTGAGCAAGCTCTAAAAATTTTTGTTAAGAGCTCTTGAAACGTTATAAACTATAGCTTATTTTTATAGTCAACTCGAAAAATAAATATAGTCGGTTTTCTTGCACTACCTTAGATAAGTTTGAAAAAGTATTCTAATTTTTAAAATGTTTTCAAACATAATTAGATTTAATACATAGTTCTTGATTTCACCGTTAGGTGACTACGCCTTTTCGCTAGCAGAAAAAACTTACCAAACTATATAAACAACAAAATTTCTTTCACTCTCAAAGTTAATGATTGATAATTTATTTATTTATGAACAATTTTGCAGTCTAACTTCATTCCTATCGTTACTGTTTACGATAATAATAACTAATACTACCAAAAATATGACAAATATCAATAAAAACCAATCAAAATTACATCAACCTGCTGTACTTTGAATGTTTAAAAAAAACTTTAGCGAACCCTAAAAATTTTTTATCGAGCTGATGAAAGCAAACTCGCAGAATAAGAAAATAGTCGTTTTTCGTGTGCCATCTTTATAAATATAAACTCACCAAATTAGTTGGATAACTAGGTACTTTATTGTAATTAGGAGTTGAGGGCGTTGAGGAATGATCTTTGTCAACGACCCACTTCTCCGACCTTTTTCTGCGCTTGGCGAAAATTTCAGCGCCTGAAACAAGATTTAGAATAGATCAATTTTAAATCATTTTATCAATGTACATTGTACAATAAATACTTACCACGTCCTTTTTGGTTATTAAGATCACGAACAATGTCAAAAAGTTTCTCAGCATTTATCGGACTCGTACCAATGTTAGGATCTTCGCCTAACGCTTGAATGCCAGTAAGATCCAGCACTTTGCCATTGGGATTCATTACGCATTTCAGCGGTACTTTGTCCTAATTAATGTTCAAAAATTATTCAAAAACAATGAACAATGTAAGTTGTAACTATAGAAAATAAAAATAACAATATTATTACCTTGTGAACTAGGGATTGAGGTTCTTCCTCTCCCTCATCGCCATTTCCATCATGGATCCACTTGACAGATCGTTTCTTCCTGTTGACATACATGGACTGGCCTTTGCTCTTCATATTTTTAACGTCGCTCAGCGAATAAGAAATCCGGCGAGCGAGTTCTACTTGATCTTCAACGGTTGGGTGAGTAGGACCGTAAAAGCATGATGAAGCGTACATTTTTTCTTGAAGTAAGCAAGATAAATTATTTACATATAATAATAATGAAGCTGAGAAAAATCTGATCATTTTTAACTTCCCGCTAAGAAAATCGAAGATTTTCGAAAATCGGGAAGTTATTGTTTTCACCCCGTTTTGCAAAAATCGAGTTTTCATCATATCTCGACGTTTTGAGGTCTTAGGAAGCTTCCCTGACTATTCCCGCGAGGGTGTCACTATGTCTGTATGTCTGTCTGTGTGTGTGTGTGTATGTGTGTGTGTGTGTGTGTGTGTGTGTGTGTGTGTGTGTGTGTGTGTGTGTGTGTGTGTGTGTGTGTGTGTGTGTGTGTGTGTGTGTGTGTGTGTGTGTGTGTGTGTGTGTGTGTGTGT